TCTGCACAAGACACTGGTCACCGTTTTCCCCGCGTCTCAGTCAGAATAGCTGACCAAAGCGGTTCTTTAAGGGAGGCATTCAGGAGGCAGAGATTTAGCTGAGTACAAACCCAAGGGGCTAATGGGGAGGAGGACTTTGCCTGGTCAGTTTGGACCATCCAGAACAGACCTTTGCAGTGCCTCGAGGGAGAATTTTCCCCTGCAGAACATCACCTACTATTTCAGGAAGCACTTGCTGTGGCTCAGCGTTAAGCAGGTAGCGTGAGCGAACGGTGCTGAGAATTTCTGTCTGTCGCTATCTCATTTACAGAACTGCATTGCTTAATTCAGATTCAAAAACTTCTCCAGGGGATCAAAAGAAGAAACCTGCAAAACTGAATCAGGAGAAGAATGAAGCCCATTCCCCGGACAAACATTCATAAACACCACTCAGCCTACAGATAAAAGAATCCACCAGTAAATGCTTTTGTCAATGCCGTGGATTTGTTGTATTTCCACAGCTAAAATGTGCAGACAGAGCACACAACAGCAGGAAAACATTAAAACCACACGGTCAGACTTACAAAGCCCCTTCTATGTATATACACATAAAAACCCAGAACGGTCAAGTCATCTGGGAAAACCAAGGTCACGCAGAAACCTTGAACAAAATTAGTAGAGCTGTACAATTGGAAACATTTTATGAGGTCTTCACAAAGGCAGTACTTCAAATGAACAAAACAGCTTCCCTTGGAAGGGAGCCTTCCCTAACACGCCGTGGCATGCAGTTAGACCTCTTCCCCACCAAACCTTTGCTCAAGAGGAATGTCTTGCACCAACACTGCTGAGCCTTCCAGCGGATCAAACGGTCCCGCTGCTCCAACCCTCTCCTGACCAGTGCCACTGGAATACAAGCGGCTCAGCTATCGGTGGCTGCCTCAGCCACCGCAAGAGTCACACCGCTAACAGTCCTTCGCCAGCTGGGGACAAAAAGCAGTCCAGCTATGCTACCTAGTACAGGCTATGGGGCTAACCGCTACATCCCTCATCATACCTACGCCTTCTACCACTCACAACAATGACGGAGCCAAAATTTAGCTCCAGGGTATGTTCACAGGGTGAGGAAGATGTGAAAAGGAGTGGGAGATGCCCAACACCGAGCCTGGTCTGAGCAAGTGAACTCGCCTACCTGACTATGTACATTGCTTTAATCCAATTCTTTTCAGTAATACGAAAGATGGGGGAACAGAAGATTACCCCGAGTTATTGTAAGGGGAGCAGCTCTAGCCTGGGCACCTAGCACCAGTGCCCTCAGCAGCAGGCAGAACAAATCCAGCCTCTGTACCTGCAACGCAGCCCGCTAGCAGAGAAGCTGCAGCCCGCGCCCTTAAAGAAACCGCCCTGAACCACAACCTTGCTCCTAGAGCGGTT